AAGCCCCAATTAAACCCTAATTGGGCGAGGATGACATATGTTGAATCTATCTAATTTTTCGGTCCCTCTTACAATATCATGAAATCTATGCACAAAAATATAATTTTAAATTAGAATAAAATACCGTTTAATTTATACTCAATAAAACTAACCTTCTTTATAAAGCATGTAAGCTACCATGGATCTTGCGACCAATTTAAGTTTAGTGAAGTAAATTAGTTAATAGTTAATAAAGACTTGATCAAGTTAAAATCCAAACTTCAAGTTAAGACTTCCAAACCTGACTTTAATCACCCGATGATTTTTCTGGATTGGCTAAAATTGGATAGTGACGGTAATACAATTTAGGACATAGGAATCTGATTAATAATATTCTACTGATTTTTTTCGTTAAGTTCTCTTCCAATATTAAGTATATAACGTTCTAAAATTAGATGTATAAATAATTATATTGTATAATCGTCGTGCATTATAGTTCTTTATAATGTTAAGCAGTTTATTTAATGATTTATTAACACAATACAACACCTTGCTTATGATTTTTTTCTTACAATCTGAAAAATTTATAATCTATCTACACAAGTTGAATCTTCAGTATTCCGAATGTGTATTTCATAATCTTTTTGTTTGCAATAAAGACTAATTTTATCTAAACTAAACACATCTTTAGTATAACTTATACGTAAATCACTGTGGCCAAAACTAAAATAATCATTGATATGATCCATATTCGAACACATCAATATTGCCCTATGTTCATTTTTAACTCTACTAACAATTGATTTGTTTGTACCTTTTTCATCTTCTAATGAGAAAATAAAACTATTCTTTGCCCTTATTTTCGTTTCCTTTGATCCTGGCTTAATATAACCAACAGGATTGTATCCACCAAAAATCTCGCCCGTTAAAGAAGTTTTCGCTATTAATATTAAGTCTACTTTTTTGACACATAAGTCCCAAAAGTAACCGAAAAAACTATGAGCGTCAGATGCGTCAGATGCTAGAATTAAATCGAATTCATAGGAATACTCTGAAGTACTGTAGGAGGTCCTTTCATTAATCCACGATATTATTTTTACTGCTTGTTCAGTAGATATTATTTTCGAAGATATTTTCACTTGCTGCAAAGGAGTTACATTCCTAGAAGGTAATTGAATACTTGAAAGTTTTCGAGCTGGTAATATTGTAGAGGAAATTGGAAGATTTGGTGCCATATGCTTGCATATAATATCGTTCCAAAGTTGAGTTCCTAGAATCTGTTGATAAGGACGGATCTTACAAAATAAATACTCTCCAGGTATATGAAAGAATCGCACATATGGTAGGCAATTTTGAAGAGTTTTTTTTAAAGCAAGAAAATCGGAGTTCAAGAGCTGAAGGCAAAGTATGGTTCTGTGCAACACCCCATCTAATAACGACATCCCAAACTTTAGACTCTTCAAGTTGTAAGTCATCTCGTTTAATAACGGATATTAAAGTCTTTTCATTTAGCTTATGGAAATCCTCTGAATCAAATATGACTCCAGGATGCTTTGTAATAATATTGTTACAAAACTCTTGAAGTATAGTGAAGTCATTGTTCTTATGACTTATTTGATAGACCTGAGAAAAATTCAATCGTAACCAAGAAGCTTGATGCTCGATTAGATATGACTCTGCATATTTGAATAATCCATTGAGCCCGAATTCTCTTGCGCAATTCAATAGGTCAAATATAAGCGAAGTTGAGACGCTCTCCAAATTAATGATTCCGCCATAAATGTATCTATTTATTTAATAATTATTAGCATAGAAATGGTACTATTAATCCAATTACTTAAACCACGTACCTAATAACGATTTCAAAAACTTTTACTAAAACTTTAGGCTTTTTAATAACTTTAATACTTCTGTCGTTGTGATAGACATCTTTTAGTTCATTATAGAGATAAGGGCAACGATAACGTAAGATAATTTAATGTGCTCTGAATAATTGTTTGAAGGATCCCTTCCCTATTTCGATGATTACATTGTATTCATCGTTATTTTCGAAAAGCTTTAGGAGGTCTAAAGATAAATTTTCAAGAAGAGTTGAAGTCATCTCTCTGCACAATACAGTACGTTGTACATGCACGACGTATTTTAAATGAACAGCCTGTGCTACCGTTTCTGTTAATTTATTACGTAATACGGTACGCAATTTACTGTACAGTATACGAAAAAAATTAAGCATTCAAGTTCAAAAATTTCTTATTTTCAACTCAGAAATAATTTTGTTCTTTAAAGAGTTTTAGCGATAAATTAACATGTATGAAAATTATTCTTTATCCATTTGTTAGTGAAATTTTCAAATACATATTCCTGTGTTAAAAATAATCTGAATAATTCAAATTACTTTGTAATAGTAATAAATTTTAATTTATTATTTTTTAAATTCACAAAAAAAAAACAACTTCGTTTAATATATAATAAAAAATTTAAAAATCTAAGCAACAATAAAAATACAAAGATTTTATAAAATAATGAAGTAATAAAATTATATATATAAAAATATAATAAAAATAATCTTATTTATTAATTAAATATTTATTTAATAACTCGACATCATGCAATATTAATAACATGTGATATAGACTCTTAAGTAATACTAATCATATGATTTATTGATAAAGCATAGTTATTATTTAGTTGTATAACAATAATTCATCATTTGTTATTTATTGTTAATTTTATTTTTGCCATATTATGGATATTTAATGTTTTTTATATTCTATGTACAATAATTACAGTATGTATGTTTTGTTATTATTATACTGTACTATTTTGTCTTGTTTTAATAATATTTTCTATTATATTTTTTCTTATAATAATTTAAAATTAAATTTAGACTTATTATATAAGCTTTTATTATATACAAAGAACAAATAATTAAATCGACTAATAAATATTTAAATCTTTTTTTTTTAAAAAAAAAAAATCAAATCAACTTTGCCATATTCTACGACGCTTTACATGAATTTCTCATCTTCTGATCTATTTACTGATACTATAAAAACAGAGCCTAATTTGTCTCTGAATAGTGTATATACTATTAGACTTTACTATAGAAGTTTAATCATTAATTTTCAAAATTGCTTGCACACATATTTAACCACCTGGTGCTGTAATCTAAAGGCATGTTGGTGATAACAGAAAATATATAAAGTTTTTATAATTAACAATAATAAAATACAATTTTTAACAAATTGATGCACAAATTTTGTTAAGAGTCTTTAAAAATAAACACAACGTCGTTAACAATCTTAAAACTGAGTTATTAACACAGTAATAATCAAACGAAAAGGAAATTTCTAAAAAGGCAACTAAATATATGTTTACTTTTGTCTTTATTTTCCTTGTTCAATCAAATTGGATCGATTCCTTGAAATTCGTCGTCAATATTTTCTAATTATTTATTCAATTTAATAATCATTATCAACAAAATTTTTTAATGATAAAGACAATTGTACTGTAATATTTCCTTATACTTTTCATTTATCACTTTTGTTACATATTTTATAAACTTATTAATAAAATACTTATTAATATTTGTGAAATTTTCGCGTTAGAAACTGATAGATTGTTCTTTAAAGTAGAAACTCGAAGCATATGAAATACTCACGTACGAAATAATTATAAGGTCTCCAGAAATAAATTTTTCTTCTTTGATTGAAAACATCCAAAAAAGTTAAATCTCTAGTAAAATCTATAAAAAATAACTTAATTTATATGGGTGCTGTGCTTGACAAAAGTCACACCACTATGGATTATCGTTATCGTGAACAAATTTTAATTTTTTAATGTAACCATTATGGATCATATTTTGTTAATCTTTTTAGAAATTTTAAATTCGGAAATCTGGAAAGGGAGGAGGTGAAAATAATATGTTAAGTAAATATAGTAAGGTCTGTAAGGATTATCTTCCTCAAAACGATTATATATTCATTATGCATTAATAATCGGTTGTAGGGCAAAAACGTTTTATAAATCTACAGTATATTTTTCGTCGAGTGATTCTAATTCTAAAAGATTATAGGCAATTATACCTAATAATTTAATAAACCTGAAAATAAAATAGACGTATAAAACTGAAGCAATTATTTTTAATAATGAATTCAACAAGTTTTATAATATTGTCAACTTTTTTCCTCTGATCTTTGAAGCGCTCTCTTTCAAATAATTTCAGAGAAAAATAATTTTCATATATTTATCTGACAAATACTTGAGTTATTTACTGAATTTCGATAAACAGCTCTTTTGGGGTTTTAAATAGTTTAGTCGAAGTATGGTTTGTGAGAACGAAATAATAGGATGGATGCGCGACAATCTAACGCTTCGCGTAACAATAGCAAAATGTTATAAGATTAATATAATAGACAATTCATAGCATCTAGATAGAATAACACAACTAATGTCTTTTTGGAAAAATCCGGGTTTTAGAAACTCTTTTATTTTTCGCACTTATTAAATAATGCTATTTTACCTTTGCACCATAGCCGTTTCGTCTCTATAAACTATACTCCAAAAAGTCTAAGGGTAGTAAGCTATAATAAAGTAGAAGCTTTTTAATAAGAAACTGGCGTTACCTTTGATCCGTGACGAGAAACATTTGTAATCTTTAGAGGAAGGATCGAAGGGAGATTAGCAAGTGTACGGGAATGGTAACGCGCCTTGGAGTCAAACCCTTACCTTATTTAGCGCCAAAATATTAAGGTGTGGATTAGCGTCACGCCAAGAAAGTTTGAGTTAGCAACCGACTAGCCGGTGACAATAAAATGGAGAAGGAAACGGACTTTTAGGGTCTTTAGAATTGAATATATGCTTTAGATAACTATTTTCATCTTGTATCATTTTTGATACGTAATGCAAAAACAAAATTTATGGCGTTGCATTAAAAAAATTTTTTTCGTTTTGCTTTGGAACGTATCGAATAAAATAAAATCAATGCCTGAATCTTATTTTGGAATTAGTATTCAGTTTTGTATATTTGTTCTTGATAATAAACTGATCTTTACCAGATTTCCGATTGTTTTAAAATATTTTAAACTCTCGATAGAAAACACGAAACTATGAACATTTTAAATGAATTAAAAGAAATATTATCTACTCACAACCATATACTGAAAACTGAAGCGATTTAGATTGTTGGTCGCTAATTAAGACTGCCCTTCGTGTGACGGTAATCCAAGCGCTTTGATTATGGAGCTAAATAAAAAAGGCTTTAATTCTAAGGCGCGTTACAATGGACGATCTTTTCGCACATGCTAATCTCTCCTTAACCATGTGACGCAAGATCACAAGTATCTCTCTATATATAAAGGGCAGAGGTAACGACAATCTCCTATTTAAAGGCCTTAAATTATCATAATGTTATCCCTTATACATTTTAGAGTTTATAATTTGTGGAACGCAAATTTATGTAAAAGATATAACAAATAAGCGAGAAAAATGGAAGTGTTTCCAAAATCCTAGCTTTATCGAAAATATTAAAACTATAATATTTACAGTATACGCAGTGTCGATTATATGGCTAATTATTTCAACATTCTTGCTATCCTATACACGACGCGTTACAGTCTCGCTAATCATACTCATTTCCACAACAGTAGTATAACAAGTATATTTATTATGCCAAGCTATAATGATTTTATAACCTTAAAGGTTTTTTTTGAACAACAGCATTAGGTGTAAAGGCGCTTCTATGTTGTGATTACTTTATATTTTTTGATATAGCACAATCCAGAGGGGTTTTACTGAAACTTTCAGTGTTCTCTCATTAACAGTGTAAAGATAGATACAGCAATAAACATTGTCAAATGAAATCATTTTTTTCATGATTATTCTTGAACGCAATATAGTTATTATAGTTTGTGACATTCTAATAATGATGTTTTTTTAACACAAAACTATTATTGATAAATAATTCGTTGTTAATACCGACTATGTCTCATCTATCTTTGCCCCTAGAGAAATGCTGGGAAAATTATATAATAGATGGTGTCAAAGTTCCTAATAAAGCATGATTCTACCATTCCGATGAAGTTATTTCCACTATAAATAAACGATGTTGATACAAATGCCAAAGTCTCCAAATCTAAAATAAATTAACCATCATGAATACTTGAACACCAAGTACAGTATATCAATCAGAACAAAATAAACCTTGAACGACAATTGAAAAAAAAAAGTGTGATAT